TTTTGAATGCAGGGGTGTGTATACATATAATGTTGGTGTTTAACACAGACGTGTATTTGTATGTTGTGCTGAAGCTTGAATGCAGGGGTGTATTTGTGTATAGTGTTAGCGTGTGAATGTTGAGATGTATGCACATATACACACACACAAACACACAGGTAGATATGCACACAACCTGACACACAAATACACACCCTGACACACATACTAATAACATAACATACAGATACACTGAAACACACAAAGACAACGTACAGATACACACTGACACACATACAGACACACCGATACACATCCTGACATACACAAAGATACAAACACTGACACACACGCAGTTACACAGACACACATATACACACCTGACACACTTGCAGATACACACACACAGACTTCATACAGATACACACACATATATACACACTGACAAACACACAGATACAAAAAATGACAACATATAGATACACACACAGATATACAGACAAACTGACACACAAACATACACTGATAGACATACTTACACAGACACATAAACCGACAGACATACTGACACATAGACAGACAGATATATACTGAGACACACACAGACATACTGACACACTGACAGACATGCTGACACATTCACCAACACACACACCGACATACAGACACAAAGAGTCAAACTGATACAGACATGCACACACCGACATACAGACATGCACACACTGACATACATATGGACACACAGAGACACATACACTAACAGACATGCTGACACACACACACATATACTGACAGACATATTGACACATTCACAGACACACACACAGGCATACTGACAGACATACTGACACATACACTGACAGACATACTGACACATACACTGACAGACATACTAACACACACACGCACTGACAGACATACTGACACACGCACTGACAGACATACTGACACACGCACTGACAGACATACTGACACACGCACTGACAGTCATACTGACACACATACTGACAGACATACTGACACACGCACTGACAGTCATACTGACACACGCACTGACAGTCATACTGACACACGCACTGACACACGCACTGACACACGCACTGACACACGCACTGACACACGCACTGACACACATACTGACACACGCACTGACAGACATACTGACACACACACTGACAGACATACTGACACACACACTGACAGTCATACTGACACACACACTGACAGTCATACTGACACACACACTGACATACTGACACACACACTGACAGACATACTGACACACGCACTGACACACACACTGACAGACATACTGACACACGCACAGACATACTGACACACACACTGACACACACACTGACAGACACACTGACAGACACACTGACAGACATGCAAAATTTACACTATTAAACCCACCCTTTCTACGTTGGAGGGTGACTTTCCTACCAGTGGCTGAAGCTGCTGGGAGTTGGGGTCTGGCTAGCTCGGCCCAGACCCCCACTGCTCTGCCTCTTCCTCCTCCCGCGCGCTCCTCTCTCTATGGGAGGAAGTGACGTGCAGCCGTCACTTCCTCCTAGCCGGCTGCCGAAAAGCAAGAGGGCCTGGTCGCGCTCTTAAAGCGCCAGAGCGCAAGACCGGGCCCCTGCTGACAGAAGCCCACCGGCTGCGTGGCTGCACCGGCAGTTGGGAAAAATGCTTGAGGTCAGCGGGGCCCACGGTGCAGCTGCTTCGGGCCCCCAAGAGTAACTGGGCCCGGGGCAGCTGCCCCGTTTGCCCCGCGGTAAAGACGGCCCTGGCTGCTGTAAGCGATCACTTCCAGAGCTCTAATTACCCCAGGACGTATCAGGTATGTCCACGGTCCTTAAGGACCATTTTTTGTCAGACATACCTGATACATTCGGTTGGGAAGGGGTTAAGCACACCCTAGGGTCTGTGCTCAGTTGTTTTGTTGTCTCTCTAGAGTACAGAGCCAGATCCTGTCTGAAGTTATCTGATTACCCCCACCTGCTTCGATTTCCTGAATTAACTCCTGTCTGCCTGGGCTCTGGTAATACTCCTTGCTACCTGGAATTACTGCATTAACCCCTGCCTGCCTGCCAGGTCTCTGGTAATACTCCTTGCTTCCTAGAATTACTGCATTAACCCCTGTCTGACTGGTGTCTGGCAATACTCCTTGCTGCCTGGAATTATTGGATTAACCCCTGTCTGCCTGGACTCTGGTAATCCTCCTTGCTGCCTGGAATTACTGCATTAACCCCTGTCTGCCTGGACTCTGGTAATACTCCTTGCTGCCTGGAATTACTGCATTGACCCCTGTCTGCCTGGACTCTGGTAATACTCCTTGCTGTCTGGAATTATTGCATTAACCCCTGTCTGCCTGGACTCTGGTAATACTCCTTGCTGTCTGGAATTATTGCATTAACCCCTGTCTGCCTGGACTCTGGTACTCTATTGCTGCCTAGAATTACTGCATTAACTCCTGTCTGCTGGGCTCTGGTAATACTTATTGCTGTTTAGAATTACTGTATTAACCCTGTCTGCCTGGACTTCGGTAATACTTCCTTGCTGCCTGGACTGCTTATGAATCTCCTGCTCTTCGCTCTGGGTTTCTGTAATACTTCCTTATCTGGAATTCATTGCATTAACTCCCCGTCGCTCTGGGCTCTGTAATACTCTTGATGCTCTGGAATTACTGTATTAACTCTGCCTGGGCTTCTGGTAATACTTTGCTGCCTGGAATTACTGCATTAACCCCTGTCTGCCTGGACTCTGGTAGTACTCATTGCTGCCTGGAATTACTGCATTAACCCCTGTCTGCCTGGACTCTGGTAATACTCATTGCTGCCTGGAATTACTGCATTAACCCCTGTCTGCCTGGACTCTGGTAATACTCATTGCTGCCTAGAATTACTGCATTAACCCCTGTCTGCCTGGACTCTGGTAATACTCCTTGCTGCCTGGAATTATTGCATTGACCCCTGTCTGCCTGGACTCTGGTAATACTCCTTGCTGTCTGGAATTATTGCATTAACCCCTGTCTGCCTGGACTCTGGTAATACTCATTGCTACCTAGAATTACTGCATTAACCCCTGTCTGCCTGGGCTCTGGTAATACTCATTGCTGCCTAGAATTACTGCATTAACCCCTGTCTGCCTGGACTCTGGTAATACTCCTTGCTGCCTGGACTTACTGCATTAACCCCTGCCTGCCTGGGCTCTGGTAATACTCCTTGCTGTCTGGAATTACTGCATTAACCCCTGCCTGCCTGGGCTCTGGTAATACTCCTTGATGCCTGGAATTACTGCATTAACCCCTGTCTGCCTGGGCTCTGGTAATACTCCTTGCTGCCTGGAATTACTGCATTAACCCCTGCCTGCCTGGGCTCTGGTAATACTCCTTGCTGTCTGGAATTACTGCATTAACCCCTGTCTGCCTGGGCTCTGGTAATACTCCTTGCTGCCTGGAATTACTGCATTAACCCCTGTCTGCCTGGACTCTGGTAGTACTCATTGCTGCCTGGAATTACTGCATTAACCCCTGTCTGCCTGGACTCTGGTAATACTCATTGCTGCCTAGAATTACTGCATTAACCCCTGCCTGCCTGGGCTCTGGTAATACTCCTTGCTGTCTGGAATTACTGCATTAGCCCCTGTCTGCCTGGACACTGGTAATACTCCTTTCTGCCTGGGTTTATTGCATTAACCTTTACCTGCCTGAATTTTGGTTTAATCATTTATTGCCTGGATTTAAGTTTATTTCTTAGGAACTGCCACTGCATATTGGCTCTGCCAGTTTGAACTTTACTTTGCTGATTCTGCCGGAATACCTGACCGTTTTGGATGTGCTGTATTTGACTATCCCTGGACTTTATGTTGTCAGTAAAGATTTAACTAACTTTTACTTTGTTTGATCTCTTCATGCTGAGCCTATTCACCGCAAACCCGTGACAGGTAGGCTTTATCCAGAATCGATACCCGAAGGACAGTTATCGATTTAATAAATCTTGAATACGGATCCCCATGTTTACCCTGTGAATGGATGCCGAAAAGGTCAACTTTTCCTGGAAGAGATATTTTTTATTTTTGGGAACTTATAACAGATGCAATAATGGCTATTTATTTTAATCCATCTGCAAATATCTCAGGCCCTGGATTTTTACTAATTATTTTCAAATTAGAAATGGCACGAGGAAGAGCTGCCCTTTGGCCCCCTTGTTATATATATAGAAAATTTGCTTAAAGTTACCTAAGACCAACTAATAAAAGATCTAAATAGCAAGTTAAAGGAATGGAAAAATGTCTACACTTTATGAATGGGAAGACTGAATACAATCAAAGCATACATTCTACGCATTTGGATATATCCTTTTAGAATGATACCGCTGAATGCCCCAACAAAATACTTAATACAATTTCAAACATTAGTTGGGTGTTTTATGTGAGCTGGAAAGTGATCTCAAGGAGATTAATACAAAGTACGAAAACAGTAGGTGATCTGGATTTTCCAGACGTGTTTAGATACCAACAAGCCAGTTTTCTAGCTCATGTTTTTCAGTTACAAGTGGTAATGTAAGATCTCAAGACTGGTATTGAACAAGCCTTGGTAGAATTCAATAATTTGGAGATTTTTTGTGGTGTAATCGGAAGGAACTTAACAACATTATGCGGAAAAATAACTCAAACTCTGAAATGTCCAATTTCTGCATTGCTCCAATTTAAAAAAAAATATTTAATTTAATAGATAAATGCTTTCCTTCTACACCAATAGAGACTTTAAAATATAACATTCCAGATATGAGACTTCCTTTAGGACTCCAGGGAACAAAATCTAAATATCCGCAATCTCTTTCATACTACCAAATGTAAGAATTTATCTCAACTTAAAGATGAATACGGAATAACAGATAGCGATCATTTTTCTACAACCAGAATGAAATATTTCTTAAAATGTATTTTATACATTAATAATGATTAAAGAGTCCAAACCCAATTAGAAAAATTGTTAAACAATGAGCCCAAGAAAAAAATAAGGCCTGGTACGCACTTCTTGATACATGGAATCCCTAAATACATAACAAGACTTTAGAGAGATGGGGCAGGGAATTAATCACACAATTAAGACCCATTGGCTGGATAGCTGTATTCATTTACAATAACGTATTCATTATCTCTCCACTAAAGAACTTCACATTAAAATAGCCCATTGATGGCATTACACATCTGATATTGTTTTTAAAAATTGGGGCGATTGATAACTCATGCTGCTAGTGATTGTAATAAAGATCAGGGTAATTTATTTCATATGTGGTGGTCCTGTGAAAAATTAAAAAAATGTGTGGTTGAAGGCTTTTGCTTTAATTTCTGAATTGACTGTATTCTTAATCCTGGGGCAACCAGGAAAAGAGTTGTTTTATTTTGATTTGGAGCAGATATCTCCCTCCGACACTTTGACTTAATATTTGGATGGCAGTGAAATTGATCATCGCCAGACATTGGAAGCATAGAGAGGCTCCTGATTGGTCAGAGGTTTAAAATCAGATAGCATGTCAATACCTGATTGAAAGAGATACTATAATGCTAGACATAAGGGGTTTCTTTTTTTTTTTTTTTTTTATCTGGAATAAGTGGCTAGTGAAATACCCCGATAATGAAAATAACGCCCTAATAATTTAAATTACCATAATTTCTTTTCTGTTTTAAAATTACTAACAGATAGGTGGAGTTCCCCATGCCAAATTGCCCTTTGACATGTTACATTGTCTTAGTATTAATGTTAGTCTATATATCCCTCTAGCATGTAAGCTCATCGAGCAGGGCCCTCAACCCCCTCTGTTCCTGTACGTCAGTGGTCTGATCTCAATTATGTGTCTGTTAGTCCACCCATTGTACAGCGCTACGGAATTTGTTGGCTCTATATAAATAATAAAATAATAATAATAATAATATACACACACTCTTACCATATATTGGCTAGACAAATAACCTGATAATGAAGGACTACGAGCTTTCATTAGAAAAGTAAATAAACATGAAAGACCATTTATGCTGGATAAACTATACATCAGTCTATTGTAGTTTTAAGGGGAAAAATGTTTGTAATGTGTGTTGTTATTGTGCTCTTGTAAAAACAATAAAAAATTATATTTGCAAAAAAAAATTCCAACTTGCTATCCTGTAAAATATAGCAATGCCAACCAACAATTTCAGCCTTTCCCTATCTAGGCACCGTGAGCAAGACGTTCACAAATGGATTAGCCTTTAGACTTGACTGTGATAATATGCAAAAACCAAAATAAACAAGTACCTTGCACACAGGTGTACACAGACAAAACTTAATAGGTTACTCAGGAGTCAGACTGTATTCTGGAATACTCAGATGTGTTCTAGATCACTGGGAGCCGTCTCAGGCTGGTGTCACCCACAAGTAACAGTGCAGAATAAAACTGCTAGGCAGGTCCTGGAAGGGAGATGCTGTGATATAAGGGTGACATTTCATTTTCTGCAGTATAGGTTCTTCATCAAATGGTTCAAGGGGGCTAAAATGCATCTCATACTTTCTGAGTCAGCAACTAGTTATAGGACAAGCTAAGCAATCGCTCCTGCCCCAGTGAGATGAAAGCTATGTTTAATATCATAAAAAATGACAATAGACTGTATTTTAGGACATTCAGGTCTTCACAGCCCAATGCAAAGCTAATGGGTGATGTAAAAAAATCTCGTTAGAGCCGGCTAAACATGTTTGTGGAATCTATAGGCAGAAAAATCTTATCAGTTGCTCAGCATCTCAGCACCATCTCTAGAAATCAATAAGGGGACAGAAAACTGCCCATAGAATTATGGCAGAAACACTTTTTTTTAACATACACCTATCAGTGGCCCTTACCAAACCAAGCACATACTATTCTATATGCAATGATCTGAGATCTGAATGCATCTTCATCGTATTGTTTACCTACACTGTAAAGCAATACTGCTAAAAAATGTACTGAGATCAGAGAGAAAATAGATTTATAGTCTGCACTGCATGGGAGAGCTGGCATAGGGTGGAATTGGGCAGTCTCAAATCATTCTACTGCAAATTAAATTAGTGGGAAGTGCTCTGGGATATCTGTTTGCACAGTGAGTGAGATGACACAGTGATCCTGACATAGCACCCTGACTGGTATTGGGGGCAATGCGGTTTGGGGCTGGCACAGATCTCTGTGAATGTTCCGTCACTCTGTGGGGGTCTCACTGATGGAGGTTACAGGGATACATGATGGCACACTGTGTAACTCCAGCCTCCCTGCAGTGATATCATAGAAACAACATTGATAGAATTTCAGTAATATAATAGTCGGCACCGGTATAAACTGACCTTTACATACCAGACTATAAATCACTATACGATAATTCTCTACCATTTATCAGAAATAAAGACAATACATTCTCAGGCTGTCATGTTATATTTATTATGTAGGAAACTGATATAATGAAACGAATGTATATGTTGAATTATATTGGTAAATAATGATTATGTGTGATTATTAAAGGGACACTCTAAGCACCATAACCACTGCACCGCCTTGTAATGGTTTTACTGCTATGAGACTATGTGCATTACCCCCAGGTTTAGTCAAACTGTGTTAAAGTGGCCTCACTAATACCAGGGCTGTCTGTGGCAGTGCCAGCGTCGTTTCTGTATTATCAATGAATTATCAGAGAAAAGTCTGGGGGTCAGAGAGAGCTCTAAACTGGTTTAACAAAAACCGGAGGGAGGGCACCTATAAACTCGGATTACCATTACCACTACAAAGAGCTGCACTGGTTTTGGTGATTAGAGTGCTACTTGTATTCATTTAGAAATTATTTTTTTCTGTCTGTGAAGATTCAATTTGATATGTTTGATATGATGAATTCAAACAAACCAAATTAAATTTACCATTTGTAAAGCATTCAAAGCAGGTTTTGTCACAGCGATACACAGGCATTTTTTTATCAACTGATTCCATGCATTTCGCAAAACAAATTTTATCGTTGTATACCTGATCGTAAACAAATGCTCTGTTATTGATCTTAGAAAACTGGTCTAGTTTTGATACGATTTCATACGGCCCGTTGGGTTTGGTACAATATGCCTGACACGGTGAGTTTAAAGTGAAGAATATTGCACATTCAGTAGGCGCTTTGTTCAGTAGATTTTCTACCGGTGATACGGTTGAATCAGGAGCTGGATATAGAAGTCGATGTTCTGAGTGCTCTCTTTGGTTGTTACCTAGTTCTTTATATGAAGCCATTACCATCCGCGATCCTTCATATATTTCACTTGTATGGCTGAGAACTTTATTTCTAACATCATTGGCTTTGTCATTTTTCAGAGCATCCTTTATATTTTGATCAGTCAGTTGTTCACATTCAGTCTTATCAAATGTAATCACGTAGGCGTACTGCTTTTTAATCCTGAATTAAGAGAGACACATTAAGAGAGGGATTTAAAAAAGACATTTTTTACCAGGTTTTTGAGATTATTCGACAATATAAACATGGAATTGTATCCCACTAGGTTATAGTATTAATATTTCAGAAGTGTAAGCTGCAGTTTTGGGGATTCTCTGCATGTAACACACATTGCTATGTGTTGCTCACTGTAAAACATTATGTAACAAAAAATGTATTTATCAGTTCTACGGTCTAAAGGGAATGGATATCGTGTGATCTCAAACTTTTTATTGCTAATAAATGAATGCATTATAATTACAGCATTTTGTTTATTATTTAACCATGAAATTGCTATTATATTACATTTCTGTGCAGTAATATTTTCTGTGTATCATTCTGGAAGCAATTGTGTAAAATCTTCTTAATTTCTTCTTGTCTTCAGTTGATTGATATATACGTCTTTTGTATATATAGTCTTGGGCCAAATGCTTGCGACATTAATATATGTCTATATTAATGAAAAGTACTAATACGCAATCTGACTTACGGTTTCTTCAGGTTTATTATCAGCTACTGATACATAATAAAACAACAAAGGATGTTACAGGATAATGAATGTTCAACAGCAGATGGTAATTGCTGGACTCCTGAAGGGAGAGTTACATCCTTACATTTTTCCATCCAAAAAGAGCCAGAGACCTCATGTCCCTCTGTTACTATATAGATATGACCATAATGACGTCAGACTATTACTCTATCCATATAAGGACAAAACCCCCAACTTACATTCCAGAGTTCACAGACAAAGAAAGCCTTGTGACTTAGACCATCTGTTACTTATGTCAATCCACACATCCATATATAATCAATAGAAACATAGAATATGCAATATTCTACATTCCCTCTGTTTATGGTTTGTCTTAAAACCATAACACAATGTCACTAACCTGTCCATTCAAATAATAATAATAATAATAATAGTATCTTGTACTTGCAGTTATTAATTAATAATCTGGCTGCTAGGATTTGACTGGAAAAATTCTAAATTGTAAATCACAACTGTTTCTTGTCCCCTCCCATTCCTCCCCCCATGCTTGCCAGTCCTAGCTGTAAATACTTTGATATAACTGTTTATCTCTGCTCCCTCCCTAGGCCCATTCCTCATACAATCTTCATAGAATCTCTACAATTCTACTCGGCTCAATTCACCCAGGTTCCTTCTAAATGTATAGCATGCTCCTCCAGCTGTTTAAAATTCTCTCTCATTTACCTCTTCATTCCCTTTATATTCTACCAATAGCTGCAACTCTCTGTATACTTATTTAGCCATCACCAAATTTCTCCTGCTACCTCTTATCTCCAATCCCCACGGTATGATTTAGATTGTAAGCTCATGGGCTAACTAGCTTATACTTTGTATAAAAGAGCTTAAATGGCTTTCGCTTTTAAATGGCGTTCGCTTGTTGGTACAGTTTATCAGGTGCACAGTCAGACGACTTGCGCCTTTTTCAGAGTGGGTTTTGATTGTGGGAGGAGATTGGAATATTGCTTTAGACCAACTATTAGACAGTAAATATAGAGGATGGGATTCATTAAAACAACAATGTATACTTGTGCAGAATATACTATTCTCCTTTCAACTTATAGTTTGCTGGCGTTTAGTTCACAGACTGGGTAAAGATTAAACATTTTACTCACATTTGGCTAATAGTTATTCTAGGCTTGATATGTTCTCTGTACCTCGTAGATATCTCCACCAATTAGAAAATGCCAAGATAGGCGGTGTCACTTGGTCAGATCATGCACCGGTTGAACACACATGCTTAAAACAAATATCAGGCTTCATATATAGCCAAGATAGTAGACCATGTGAGCTCCAAGCAGCATAATACAACAGAGAAAAAAGCACAAACATTTAGTTCTTATTATAAAGATTTTTATAATCTTCCTGATTCAAAGAATAAAGCAGTAGACTTTTTAGAATATCTTAAATCTAATTTCAACCAAAACATTTCTAATTACACTGTCAAAGCTCTAGTGTCTCCATTAACTAGTAAAGAATTACTATGGGCAAAAAAATCTATCCCAGTAGGCAAAAGCCCTGACTTCAATGAGCTTACAGGCCATTATTATAAGATGTTTCTTTCTCAGCATGACACCCATTTTCTGCAAACATTTACACTAGATCCAGGCAGTACGCTACCCCCTCAATGTTAAGAGCTCAGGTCACAGTAATTCCAAAGTCAGGAAAGGATCCCACAAGTTGCAGAGGTTACAGACTGATATCCTTAACTTTCTTGAAAATGTTTGCAAAAATATTGGCTCTTCGCTTAAGGCCCTTTTTGCTTAGACTAGTCCACTCTCATCAGGTGAGATTTGTCTTGGCTAAAAAAGCCCACGATAACACATCAAAAGATATCAACATGATCCATGGAATCTCCACATCGAAAACACCTATGATACCACTTTCTGTTGATGCAGAGAAGGCTTTTAACAGAGTGGACTGGTACTTTCTATTTGGTATTTTAGAAGCCCTAGGGTTGGGGTAAGATTTAGAAATTTGACACCCTGTTTATATATGGCCGCTACAGCTACTATACATATTAATGGTCAGTTCTTTCCATCTTTTGCTATATAAATGGAACAAGACAAGGGGGCTCCTTGTCACCTATGTTATTCGTCCTAGTGATGGAACCACTTTTACAAGCCATCCGCAATAATCATTAGGTTCTAGGTTTTAGATTCTCCGACGGGTAGCTGAAGGTGTCAGGATTCGCAGACAATATTTTATTATCACTGATGAATCCGGTATATTCTCTACATCATGTGCTAAAGGAGTTAGAAATGTTTAGCTCTCTGACAAATTTTAAGATTAATGTAGACAAATGTGAGCTATTGGGTTTGTTTATTCCAAAAGAATATAAGGCACAAATAATTAGTTTGTAGGTCTTTTGGTGGGCCCCTAAAAATGCAAAATATCTAGGAGTTCATTTTACCTTCACTATAGCAGGCAGTCCAATTGTGTTTCTCTGTTTGATTGCATTCAGAAAGATCTTCGAAAATAGAATTTACCTTTATTTTCATTACTTGGTAGTATTAAAGGAACACTATAGTCACCTAAATTACTTTAGCTAAATAAAGCAGTTTTAGTGTATAGATCATTCCCCTGCAATTTCACTGCTCAATTCACTGTCATGTACGAGTTAAATCACTTTGTTTCTGTTTATGCAGCCCTAGCCACACCTCCCCTGGCTATGATTGACAGAGCCTGCATGAAAAAAAAACTGGTTTCACTTTCAAACAGATGTAATTTACCTTAAATAATTGTATCTCAATCTCTAAATTGAACTTTAATCCCATACAGGAGGCTCTTGCAGGGTCTAGCAAGCTATTAACATAGCAGGGGATAAGAAAATCTTAATTAAACAGAACTTGCAATAAAGAAAGCCTAAATAGGGCTCTCTTTACAGGAAGTGTTTATGGAAGGCTGTGCAAGTCACATGTAGGGAGGTGTGACTAGGGTTCATAAACAAAGGGATTTAACTCCTAGATGGCAGAGGATTGAGCAGTGAGGCTGCAGGGGCATGTTCTATTCACCAAAACTGCTTCATTAAGCTAAAGTTGTTCAGGTGACTATAGTGTCCCTTTAATATCATGAAAATCATGACTCTCCCTAAGCTATTCTATATTTTTAATACTTTACCTTTAGCTGTTCTTTATCAATTATTCACAAAAATAAGATCTCTGTTCTCTAATTTATATGGAACAATAAAACTC